ATATATATATTCAGACCGATTGGTAATATATCCGGACAGATATTTCGGTCTGAATATCCCATTCCTGCAGTAGTGATCTAACTAATAAATATAATTCTATTTATTTAATTACATACCTATATCACATTATTAATAATAAATTTTGAACCCAAATTTTCTTACTCTATACCATTATAAAATAAATTGAAGTATAACTTACGTGATCAAAGTCTTACACCTTAGACATCGGAAAAATTAGTTTTTTTGAGGGTTGCGCTACAAGAACAATTTTTTTATATTATCTTTTTATACAATTTTTATATATTATTAAATGAGTGAATACATTTAATATCACGGCACCTACATGAATAAAAAGAATCAATCATATAAATGATATATCAAATTATACAAAAAAATGAGACAAAAAAATTGTCCCAAAATCATTTCCCATTCGAGATTTTGTCCACGTCAGGAGTACAGGCCAGCTATGTAAAATTTTCTTTAACAATTGTCTAATTATAGTCTTAAGCTGGAATTTTCCAATACTTGGAAGGCGCGAAATGTTTTGATATAAAACGTTAATCTTGTTCACTTGAAAAATATTTAATTAATGCATATATTTTTATAAAATAAAGAGTAAATTACTTAACAATATAAAAATTTAATTTTTTTATCTTAACATTTAAATTAAAGTTTTTAAATCAGTAAAAATTTTAGATAGTCTGTTAATGTATATGTTTGAAAAAGCTTTGCTCGAGACTTTGAGTTAATATTATCTCCGTCAACCTGATCAAAGTGCAGCACTAATTTTTTGACTTAAAAACCAATGTAATAATGGAAAAAGAATAAGTGTCGTTGTAGGTCTTAATTCCTGCCGTTTTATTTTTTTGAAAATCGGCAATTCCTGTCCCTATAACTTATTTGGCACAGTCGTTAAAATTAAGTAGATAGTAGATAGTGAGTAGTAAAAAACAAATAGTGATAACAGGTGATGGGTAGTAAGTGGTGGTTAGTGGATAATGGAAAGTGAGTAATGAATAATAGATAGTGGATTCGATAGATATAACTGTTTGGTTATACAATAGTTAACGATTGTTATTTAATATTAAATGGCTAAAAATGACATGTTTAAAAACAATTAAGTGTATTTTTTTTCTAAATTTATTTATTTATTATTATTAAAATTATTAATTTTATAAAAATAATAATAAGAAAATAAATAAATAAAAT